GTACTGGCCATGGAGATGATGGTGATGATGATGGCAGTGATGACGCTGGCGATGATGGTAATGATGGTGCTGAGGGACGCGACAAAAACGATGACGCTGGTGATGATGTTGATGTCGACCGAAGGGATGAAGCGTGCGACGATGGTGGTGGTGGTGATGATGATGATGCTACTGATACTGATGATGGTGATGATTATGATGGTGGTGATGATAATAATGGTGGTGATGACGATGATGATGATGATGATGATGATGATGATGATGGTGATGATGATGGGGACGAGGGTGACGGTTGCAATGATGCACCTGGCGATGGTGACAACGATGGTGTTGCTGAGGACAATGTCGAAGTGCGCGCTCACATCATCCCAGAAATCCTGACACAATGCTGATTGCAAAGCAGAGTGGTTGTCAGACATGCCTGAAGCAGCATCCTGGTTTGGGAAGGGACTCGGCGTGCGCGCGCGGAGACGCGAGCGTGTGGCCCGCATGGTATTATTAATTTTAGGTCGGGCATGTCCTCCTACAGGCGTTTTTTGGATGACAAATTCGCCGACCCAACGGGCCAGAGGCGTGCTAAGATCTCCGGAAACTGGTTCGTAGTCTTCTGGCTCGCGCGCGCGGGGCGGCCCCTGGGGGCCCCTGGACGAAAAGTACCCCGAGCAGGTCCCGGCCAAGTGTGTCCCAGAGATGGTTTTCCTCCTCGTTGCTGCCTTCCAGGCTTTGCAGAGCGCCCCAGGAACGCCCCAAGAGAGCCCCGAGACGCGCCCGAAATCGTCCGAAAGGCCCTGGATCGGCGCAAGATCGCTCCAAGACGCCCAAGATGGCCTCCAGACGGCCCAAGCCGCCGCCAAGAAGCCCCAAGAGAGCCTCAAGAGGCCGTCCAAGAGAGTCTCAACAACCAAAAAACGCTCCATTTCCTTACGAAAGCGTGCATTTTTCACATGTGCGACTCTTGCAAGAGACCCCCAAGATCGCCCCAAGACGGCCCAACAGGCCCCCAAGATGGGCCGAACACGGCCGAAGAGGGCCCCAAGACGGCCTAAGAGGCGCCCAGGACAGCCCAAGACGGCCCCAAGAGGGGACCAGGAGGCACCCAACACGGCCCAAGGGGCCCCCAAGACGGCTCAAGAGGCGCCCAAGAGGGGGAACGCGATGCGAAAACCCGAGCCTTCAGCCCAAAAGAGGCCCCCAAGAGGCCCCAAAGAGACCACAAGAGTCTTCAAAACTGCATCCAAGAACAGACCCCCGAAACGACTGCCAAGAGACCCCAGCAGCGCCGCATTGACAACAATCCCTCGGGCAAACGGCAGAGATGAGGCTACAAGGGCCAGCGGAATGAGCGAAGCGATCAAATAAAACATAGTCCAGAAATGCACCAAACAAACATTCAAAAATAATCAAGACATCGTCCCCAGGCTATTGTTTGATCATTTTTGAAAACTCCTCCTGTAGAGGGACAGGCCCGACCTAATACCCCTTGGCAGAGCTGACGGGTGCGCGCGTGGGGCCCGTGGCTGTCTCCATCGAACGAGCGGCACAACACATGCAGCACCCCGCAGCTGCGGACAAGAGCGAGGGGGCGGGCCCAGGGCGGGTCGCGGGCGGGTCGCGGGCGGGTCGCGGGGTGGGTCGCGGGTGGGTCGCGGGTGGGTCGCGGGGTGGGTCGGGGGCGGGTCGCGGGCCGGGTCGCTGGCGGGACGACGACAACAAACAACAAACAACAAACAAACAAACAAACAAACAAACAAATCACAACAACAGCAGCAGCAACAGCAACAGCAACAGCAACAACAACAGAAATCATTATAAGACTGTTCGCTCTTACTGGCACGCGTGCCTTGCATTCCGTATATCCCAACCCTCGATACCCGCCCACTTTGTCTTCGATTACACCCCCTTTCAGGGGGAATCTCTTCTTTGTCGGCCACTGACTGAAGTGCGAAGGAGTCTCGAGCGAGAGCGCCGTTCCCGAGTTCGGGGTCTTCTCTGGCCAGGGGCTCTCGGAATACAATTGAAGAGTATCAAGCAGGAGCCCTTGTCGGCCGTACGTCGTGGCTGGGCCTCCGCCCACTCAATTGGATTGCGAGGACGTCTCGAGCGAGAGCGCCGCTCCTGAATTCGGGGGCCTCTCTGGCCAGGGTGTCTCGGGGTAAATTGTGAGGAAATATCGAGCGGGAGCCGTTGTTGTCGTAGCTGGGCCTCCAAGGGCCCACATTTAGGCTCAAGCCAACGCTCGAGCGGGAGCCTTGTTTTTAGAGAAACTGTAGCCGGCGTCGAGGCGAGAGCGCGCGGAACCGTTTCCAGATATCAACAATAATTATTCTTTAGAAATGAATATTCAACAGCATCAGTAGCAACAACAACAACAACAACAACAACAACAACTACTACTACTACTACTACTACTACTACTACTACTACTGCTATTACTACTACTACTACTACTACTACTACTACTACTACTACTACTACTACTACTACGACTACACTACTACTATGAGTGTGATTATTGTTATTACTACGACTACAATTATTACTACTACTACTACTGCGACGACTACTACTACTACTACCACCACCACTACTACTACTACTACTACTACTACTACTACTACTACTACGACACTCCGTTCTCACCAGTGCAGGGTTTTCATGCGACGCCAGCCAATACCCCCACTTTGTGGGGGGCCAGTGCAAGCTCTACCAAATATCCACACGACTCTTCGCCACCACCCACACCCAGTTTCCCGCCCTATGACGTTCGGACACTTCACTTCGTGGCCTGCGGACGACCGTGGCTACTACACTGGCGCATGGGTACAATGACTTGTTGTGGTAACATTTTGTGGAAGCTAGCTTAGTATACGACTTTTCCCCCTGCAATTGAAGATTTCGGCGTGCGCGCGCGAAGAAAAAACTAATGTGTCCCATATGGTATTATTTGACAGGGATGATGGCCCTGGCAGGCGCGCAACCGTTGTTGCAGAAGTTCGAAGCACGTGAAAAGTTGCTCGCAAGAGCCCGTTTGACAGAAATGTTGAAAAAGTATTGGGTTTCCTAAGAAATCCGCAAGAGCGCGCGGGATGAATTTTTGAAACTTTTTTTTTGAAAAAAACATTGGGTTTTTCATGTTTTGATGTTAAAGTCGCTACGAAAACTAAGGTTTTGGAAGGATTTCATCTTGCGCGCGCGAGTGTGCACTTCGTCTCATTTGTTGCAAAGGATTCTTGAAGTTTGGTTATGTTAGAACAAGACATGTCATTTTATATTGTTTTTGACAGGGAAAGCGGGCGTCAACAAAACAACCGGATCCGGACTCCCCCGTTTTGCCTGAGACTTCCTCACGAAAATGATGAAAATGTGGCTGCGGCCTAGGCGCGGCGAGGGGGGCGTGCACCAGGGGGCCCAACAATAATTATTCTTTAGAAGTAATAATATTCAACAACAACAACAACAACACCAACAACAACAACAACAACAACAATCCGCACCGCGGAAGCCCACTTCAGCCACGCACCCAGGGACAGTGAATGACCATACGGCCCCCTCAATTTGACGATTGTGTCTCATGACTTCTGCGACTGCGCGTGAGCAGAATTCTGTCACGTCTGCCAATGAAGGATACAGTGTAAATGTGTACTGGATGGGCTCTGTCTTGACATGCTTCGAAAAGCAAGCTGTGTTGGACGGATTTAGACATGCGCGCGCGGTGGCACGCAAACGTGGCTCGCATAATTTTGTTCGACAGGGCCCCATATCAAGCGCCCTTGTTGGATCAACGCGTGTCCAGCGCGTGGCATTACTTGAAAAAGGTGACGGGGGGGGTCGATACTGGCCTGTTTGGACGCGTATAATACGGAATGAAGGCTGGACGCTCGGGCCATTATATGCGCATAAACATATGTATCAGTGTACTTGTGCACAGATGTATGTACACATAAGGAAGAACGCGCTTCGTGGACGCTGGCCTGACAAAAAACACCTTGGCACGTTGGAGCTGGGCCCCGACCCCCCTCAGGCAAAAAACACTGAGCGCCCCTGGAAAACCAGGGGTGGAGGGGGCGGACACCAGCCTCCCTAACCTTGGGGGCTCCCCCCTCTCCAATGGGAGGTCGTTCGAACCATGGGGGGAGGCGGAGTTCGAACAGGAAGGGCCCCCTGAGTTGCAATCCCTCCCCACCTGAATTGCAAGGGGGGGTTCGAACCTGGACACCCCTCCCCACCTTGCAAACGACGACGGCGACCGCCGGCGCCGGCGCTGGCGCCAGCGCCGTCGGGCAGCGACGACGACGACGACGACGACGAAGACGAAGATCAAGACGGTGACGACGCCGATGACGACGACGGTGAATGCGATTGCTGCTGTCGTCGTCCCCGCCCGCGACCCACCCGCGACCCACCCACAGGGCGGGCCCGTTGTGCAACGTGTGGAGGAAACTGTGCCGGCGGCGGGCCTCTTCGGAGCCCCGCAGACTGCAGACGGCCCCTCCGCCCCCATCACTCTTGTCAGCAGTGGCGGGGGCCATGGTGCACATATAGATTCACAGCGAGGATGCGGAACTACAGTCGGCCTTGATTGGAGAGGACACGCGAGAGGACACGGGCATGAGGAAGAGCAATAGAGAAAAAACTACACAGATTGCTAGCCAGATGAGTGGGAGGAATAGCGAGAGAGGGGGGGAAAGAGAGAGGAAGAAAAACAAAAGAGAAAGAGAGAGAGAGAGAGAGAGAGAAAGAGAGGTAGAGAGATAACAACGCAACAGAGAGAGAGAGCGAGATAAACACAGACAACACGAGAGAGAGACAGAGAAAAGGAGAGAAAAAGCGAGAGCGAGCATCGATGGGGGGCATGTGGAAATCGACAAGGGGGAGAGACAGAGCAAGATGAGGGAAGAAATGGAGCCAATCCGTTCCACTTCTCCTTCACATGCAAGTCGGCTATATCCCACACATGCCTTATCATTTGTACCCTTATCTGGTGGCCCTTTCCTATCCTTGTCCGAATCCCTGTGTGTCAACAACCCTTGCTCACTGCTTGTCCTTCTTAAGCATTCCACCATGTAATTCGCGGTAACGCTCCAAAGTGATGTACACACTTGAAACACATCAGGATATCGGCGCACTCCGTCTTCCAAGAGACAAGCTCTGAGGCAATTTCCAAAAGCTGATTGAGGCTACCAAGAATTGCCACATGCGGTGCATAACGTGGACTTCGCAAACAACATATCCAAGAAATTATCCAAGCCGACCCCTTTGGGAGTCGTCGGGCGTGTGAGATCCTGTACAAGTAATTTCCTTCTGGCTAGAAACAGCTTGTTGAAATTGGTGAGCCATCGTTTGGGGGAAAGAAGAATATGATAGGCTTGCGTCGTGTTATGGATCACTTGCGGCCCGCAAGATGGCCCTACATATGCCCACGGCGGCTCCGAGACCTGGACCGGGACCCCTGATGGCCCCCAAAACTTCACAGGCAGCCCAGAAAACCATCGAAAAGCAATCAAATACCATTGAAAGAGAAATCGAAGAAGCCTCATACGAGAAATCGTGACAACAGCGTATTGCTACAACCATGAAGCGCCACAGCGTTGCTGCGCCACGCTGCTTCCCCAAGCGCGGTGGCGCCAACCCACCTGCACAACAAAATTAATGACGTCACAACCACCGCACAACTGATATGCCGCCAAATGCAAAACTAGATGCAAGCAATATGTGAAGCATTCCGCGAACACTGTATGTGCCACGACTAATGGTTCCAAGAGGCTGGGCCAAGACAACTTTGTAGGATTCCGTAGCTGATCTGTGTAACTAACCGTCGCACTCACACAACATCATGTTGTGCCAGGTCACGTTGCGACGGTCCCACAGGATTCCTATCGGCTCGCAAGAGCCACCATCACATGTTCACTGCTCTACTCCTTCGAATACATGTGCCTTGACGGCTGTGCCGATCGATGCAGCTACCCTATTCCTTGCCAAAACCGACGTTCCCTCTGTCAGATCGATGTGCCTTATGTCGCGGTTCATGTGATAAGACTTACACGGTTGCTTGCGGAAGCTGCATTGCGATTTGCAAGGTCGACTTGTAAGAAGGGCAGTTCGGCGGATGTGGGGTAACCCTGCTGAATCACGGGTCACATAACTATTTTGCCAGTGCTCATCGAACGCATCTATAACACAGGGTGCGATACGCCAGGGGTCTGAGATGCACGCACTCCCATGCAGTGCTGAGCAGATCGTGCTGGGTAGCCGTTGGATCCCAAATGCCAGGAGGGCAGACGAAATGTATGCGCACGGGCATGTGGAAATGCAGCGCGGCGAGAGCTCGTTGGGGATTGCCACCCTGGCACAGTTCCGACGTGCCCCACCCTGGACTTCGGATCCTGGAGGCAAGGCAGCCGCTCACAGCTTCTCACTTGAAGCTGGGGTGGAGGTATCCACCTGAGGGGGCAATGCGAGTGAAACGTCCGTCACAACTTCCCGCCCGGGGGCCCTGCTCCTCGCAAGCATTACCCGCACATGGCTTCAAAGTCGAACACTCCGAGGCACCCAATGTGTGATTGTGCTTGTGCACGCGCGCTTCTGGACCGCCCGAGCGCGCGTCTCATGTAAGCCCGACTGCACATCACAATGTGCGTACGAGATCATGTGACCAACTCGCATTGTCGCCGTGACCGCGACATGACTAGCAAGAAGCTCTGTCCAGACTCCTTCTTCTCCAGATATTTCGAGCGGCGACACAGGAGGACGATTACGCCCCAAACTTCAACGGCAACAACAAAACAGGAGCACTGCAAACAGCCAAGGCCCACCTCAACACAAAACAAGTGAAAGCAAATACCTTGCTCGCGCGGTTCCGAAGAACACCCTCACCAATACGTTCGGAATCATATTCAGAAGAAGGTGAATCGAATTTCAACCGAGTCGAACACACCTGTGGAAATCCGCCGACACCTTGGGGTCATCGGCGTGTGAGATGCTTCCCCCTCCCCAAACCCCTCCCCCAGGGGCCCGGTCGAGTCGTTTTGGAGGGGGGGGTCCGGCCGGCCCCGGCTGAAAGCGTCACGGGCCTCACGACGGGACATGAGGGCTCCAAGAGGCCCACAAGATGGTCCAAGAGGGCCCCGAGTCGCCAATGGATCGTTCCAAGACGCCTAAAATTGCCCCCAGACGGCCCAAGAGGCCCCCAGGATGCCCCAAGAGGCTCCCATAAGGCGTCCCAAGAGGGCCCCCAGAAGCAAACATCGTCCCATTCCCTCAGGGAAACTGTAATCTTAGCAGATTCGCCTCGGGCTTTCACAACGTCCAACACGGCCCAAGAGGCCTCCAAGATCGCCCCAAGACGGCCCAGCAAGCCCCCAAGAAGGCTCCAAGACCGCCCAAGAGGGCCCCAAGACTGCCCAAGAGGCCCCCAAGACGGCTCCAGGAGGGGCCCAGGCGGGGAACCCGAACGGAAATTTCGAGCCCTGGGCCCCAAGAAGCCTCCAGGAGGCCCCAAGAGGCCCCCAATAAGCCCCCAAGAGGCTCCAAAAGGCCTACAAGAGGCCCAAAAGAGACACTAAGAGGCCCCAAAACGGCTCCCAAAAGGCCTCAAAGTGCTGCCAGGAGGCCCCCGAGAGACCTACCAGGTGTCCCCCAAGGAGTCGGCGGTGCAGTGCAAGCCCAAGAATCAGCATCGACGTGACTCAAATCAAGAACTAAATCAAACCGAACATCGCTCCAGCTCCTGGCATGCCGACGGACCAGCTGATCGAAATCGATCTTGACGAGGGCGCAATGCGGCAGCACATCGGGAGACGATTGAGCATCATGTTGCGCATTTGGCCGAAAGCGACACACCAGGTCAATTGCGTGCGAGGTGAAATCGACCAGAGCGAAGCGCCGACCCCCTGGCTCCCAATTCGCCAGACCTCCCGACCAGAAGACGAGTGACACCATTATCGCGAAACGAACTCCAGCACTAAGGCCATTTCTCAAGCGGAGCATCAGGAGGTTTCCGATATCAGCTCAAGACGCCAACATGGAACCTCGGCGACGTCGGAGATCACACCACAAATCATCCAGTCCACTCGGGCAGGTGCGGGGCTCTCGCTGCATCGCGCGAGGATGAAGAGGAGGAGGACGAGTAGGAGGAGGAGGAGGAGGAGGAGGAGGAGGAGGAGGAGGAGGAGGAGGAGGAGGAGGAGGGGGAGGGTATTATGTTGCAGGCCCAAAAGGCAGAACAAAAACCGTGGCGCTCAGCAAAGCGCGGGCCAACGTGCCCTGGCCAACGGCCAAAGTGGCCAACGGCCAACACCAAGGGCACACGCGCAAAAAGAGGGGATCACGGACACAAGCTGGGACCTGACCTCCGGCCTCCTTTCCTTGACTAACTCCCAATAGCGCCAGAAACGCTGTGCCTTAGGGAGAAAATCAAGGAAAAGAAAGCAAACCAAGGACCGCCCTACACCCCGCGCCAAAATGGCGCACGGGGGTTCGGGATCGGCGCCCAAGGGACGATACACGGAGCGTTGCCCAGCGCCCGCACCCTCACAAGCACGGCAACAGTGTGCCCGCGGCAAAGAGCACTGCAACCAAGAGGTTACAGGCGGAAAGCCGCGGGCCCCGCCTCCGTGGTCGTCAAACGGCGGTGCACCTCAGACCAGGAGGTGCCACTGGGGTCTTCCCGCGCCCAGGCCGCACCTCTTGGCCGAGGTGGCAGGGCACTAAAAGCCCTGGCCTGACAGCTGCAACGGCAACAGCAGCGGCAGCAGGGAGGGGGTGGGGGAGGGGGCCACTCTCCGGCCCAGGAGCGCAAACAACGTCCACCCTGGAACCTAATCCAGGGCCGTGCCGCAACTCCCAAAGAGGACAAGGGCGACGGACATGACGACGAAACGAGACACGAAGGACGACAACGAACGACCACGAACCTCCCAGCGGGAGGTGCCGCCCTCCGCCCTATCCTTATCGCACCCGGAACGCGGGCGGGAGAAGGATCTGACATCATCGGACCCACACCGCATTCAGGCGGTGCCACACGGAACCCAGGCAGCACCGCTTATCCGCGGTGGCGAGGCATTTGAAAATTGCCTCGGCCGAGGAGGGGGAGGGGGAGGTGGAGGAGGAGGAGGAGGAGGAGGAGGAGGAGGAGGGGGAGGGGGAGGAGGAGGAGGAGAGAGGAGGAGGAGGAGGAGGAGGAGGAGGAGGAGGAGGAGGGAGGAGGACGAGGAGGAGGACGGAGGGGAGGAGGAGGACGAGGGGTACTAGGGGAAGGGGGAGGAGGGGGAGGGGGAGCGGGAGGGGGATGAGAGAGCGCCACCCCGAAAAGTCGGCGCGGCGGCGGCGGCTTTCCTCGGTGCCCGCCGCCTCTTGAGTCGTGGTAGGGGTCGAAGCCTCGTCCGCCGCCGGGGCCACCGCTCTTGTCGCCCTTGCCTGGGCGGAGCTTCAAACGACGGGAGCCAGCGCTCGGCAAAGTCGACCGCAGCGCAGTGAAAGGACGAAACCCTCGAGAACTCCCATATCTCGGGGGGCTGGGGGGGCGGCGGGGGGCGTGCGTGGAGACCACCAGCCGTGAGGACAGGCTCCGAGGACGAGGGGGGTGAGGCGGACGAGTGCCCGAGCCCCGTCGCCCGGGTGCGCGCGGAACCCCCCCTCAGCTCTCGCAGTAGAATGGAAGGGCGCTGGGTGTGCGCGGCGCCTTCCCAGCTCTAGCAGAGTACCCACACACACCTCCTCCTCCTCCCCTCCTCCTCCTCCGCCTCCTCCCTCCTCCTCCTCCTCCTCCTCCTCCTCCTCCTCCTCCTCCTCCTCCTCTCCTCCTCCTCCTCCTCCTCCTCTCCTCCTCCTCCTCCTCCGCCCTCCTCCTCCTCCTCCTCCTCTCCTCCTCCTCCCTCCTCCTCCTCCTCCTCCTCCTCCCTCCTCCTCCTCCTCCTCCGCCTCCTCCTCCTCCTCCTCCTCCTCTCCTCCTGCCTCTCCTCCTCCTCCTACTCCTCATCCTCCTCCCTCCCCCCTCCTCCTCATCTCATCTCATCCTCATCTCCTCCTCCTCTCCTCCTCTCCTCCTCCTCCTCCTCCTCCTCCTTCTCCTCCTCCTCCCCTTGTGTTGATGCTCCTCCTCCTCCTCCTCCTCCTCCTCCTCCTCCTCCTCCTCCTCCTCCTCCTCCTCCTCCTCCTCCTCCTCCTCCTCCTTGACTCCTTCCGACACCTCCTCTCTGTAATCCGGTGCCCCGCTGCAGCGCTTCTGCGGAGGAGGAGGAGGAGGAGGAGGAGGAGGAGGAGGCGGAGGAGGGAAGCAATTGGCGGAGCAACTGAAACCACCCCAGTTGCAACTGGGATTTCCCCGGTGGCGCAGAGGGGGCCGGAGGCGGGCGGAGCAACTGAGAAGGGTGGGCGGAGCAACTGGGCCAGCAACTGACCCAACTGCCCCACACTGCCCCAACTGCCCCAGCTTGCCCTGCCTCAGACTGCCCCAGACTGCCCCAGAGTGCCCCAACTGCCCCACACTGCCCCCAGACTGCCCCAGACTGCCCCAAACTGCTCCAGACAGCGGCAGACTGTCGCAGACTGCCCCAGACTGCCCCAACTGCCCCAGACTGCCTCAACTGCTTCAGACTGCCTCAACTGCCCCAGACTGCCCCAACTGCCCCAGACTGCCCCAGACTGCCCCAGACTGCCCCAACTGCCCCAGACTGCCCCAAGTGCCCCAGACTGCCCTGTCTGCCCCAACTGCCCCAGACTGCCCCAGACTGTCCCAGACTGCCCCAGACTGCCCCAGACTGCCCCAACTGCCCTAGCTGCCTCAGACTGTCCCAGACTGCCCCAGACAGTCCCAGAATGCCCCCAACTGCTCCAACTGCCCCAACTGCCAAGGGGGCCGGAGGCGGGCGGAGCAATTGAGACGGGTGGGCGGAGCAACTGTGCCAGCAACTGACCCAACTGCCCCAACTGCCCCAGACTTCCCCGCACTGCCCCAGACTGCCCCAACTGCCCCAGACTGCCCCAGACTGCCCCGACTGCCTCAGACTGCCCCGACTGCACCAGACTGCCCCTGACTGCCCCATCTGCCCCACACTGCCCCAACTGCCCCAGACTGCGCCAACTGCCCCAGACTGCCCACACTGCCCCAGACTGCACCAGACTGCCCCAGACTGCCCCAAATGCCCCAGAATGCCCCAATTGCCCCAGACTGCCCCAGACTGCCCCAACTGCCCCAGACTGCCTCAACGTGCTTCAAACTGCCCCAACTGCCCCAGACTGCCCCAGACTGCCCCAACTGCCCCAGACTGCCCTGTCTGCCCCAAACAGCCCCAGACTGCCCCAACTGCCCCAGACTGCCCCAACTGCCGCAAACTGCCCCGACTGCCCCAGACTGCCTCAACTGCCCCAGACTGCCCCAACTGCTCCAGATTGCCGCAAATGCGTCAGACTGCCTCGGACTGCCCCAGACTGCCTCAGACTGCCCAACTAACCCAAACTACCCCAGACTGCCCCAGACTGCCCCAGACTGCCCCAAACTGCCCCGGACTGCCCCGAACTGCCCCAGACTGCCCCGACTGCCCCAGACTGCCCCAACTGACCCAGACTGCCCCAACTGCCCCAGACTGCCCCTGACTGCCCCGAACTGTCCCGGACTGCCCCGACGGCCCCACACTGCCCCAACTGCCCCAGACTGCCCCAGACTGCCCCAACTGCCCCAAACTGCCCCAACTGCTCCAAAACTGCCCCAACTGCCCCCCAGACTGCCCAGACTGACCCAACTGCCCAGACTGCCCCAACTGCCCCAGACTGCCCCGACTGCCCCAACTGCCCCAGACTGCCCCAGTCTGTCCCAGACTGCCCCAGACTGCCCCAACTGCCCCAACTGCCAAGGGGGTCGGAGGCGTGCGGAGCAACTGAGACGGGTGGGCGGAGCAACTGGGCCAGCAACTGACCCAACTGCCCCAAACTGCCCTAACTGCCCCAGACTGCCACACACTGCCCCGACTGCCCAGACTGCCCCAACTGCCCCAGACTGCCCCAACTGCCCCAGACTGCCCCAACTGCCCCAGACTGCCTCAACGTGCTTCAGACTGCCCCAACTGCCCGAGACTGCCGCAAACTGCCCCGGACTGCCCCAACTGCCCCAGACTGCCCCAACTGCCCCAGACTGCCCCAACTGCCCCAGACAGCCCCGGTGGCGCAGAAGGGGCCGGAGGCCCCGAACTGCCCTAGACTGTCCAACTGCTTCAGACTACCCCAACTGCCCAACTGTCCCAGACTGCCCCAACTGCCCCAGACTGCCCTGGACTGCCCCAGTCTGCCCCCGCTGCCCCAGACTAACCCGGACTGACCCAGACTGCCCCAACTGCCCCAGACTGCCCCAGACTGCCCCGGACTGCCCCAAACTGTTACAGACTGCCCCGACGGCCCCAGACTTCCCCAACTGCCCCTGACTGCCCCAGACTGCCCCAACTGCCTCAGATTGCCCCACGCTGCCCCAGACTGCCCCAACTGCCCCAGACTGCCCCAACTGCCCCAGACAGCCCCGGTGGCGCAGAAGGGGCCGGAGGCCCCGAACTGCCCTAGACTGTCCAACTGCTTCAGACTACCCCAACTGCCCCAGACTGCTCCAACCTGCCCCAGACTGCCCCAACTGCCCCTAACTGCCCCAACTGCTCCAAACTGCCCCAGACTGCCCCGGACTGCCCCAGACTGCCCCAACTGCCCCAGACTGCCCCAACTGCCCTGCCCACTGCCCCAGACTGCACACTGCCCCAGACTGCCCAACTGCCCCAGACTGCTCGAACGCCCCAGACTGCCCAGACTGTCCCGGACTGCCCCAGCCTGCCCCAACTGCCCCAGACTGCCCCAACTGACCCAGACTGCCCCAACTGCCCCAGACTGCCCCAGACTGCTCCAGACTGCCCCGAACTGTCCCGGACTGCCCCGACGGCCCCAGTTTGCCCCAACTGCCCCCCCAACTGCCCGAGACTGCCCCTGACTGCCCCTGACTGCCCCAACTGCCCCACGCTGCCCCACACTGCCCCGGACTGCCCCAGACTGCCCCAGACTGTCCCAGAAAACTGCTCCAGACAGCCCCGGCGGTGCAAGAAGGGGGCCGGAGGCGGGCGGAGCAACTGAGATGGGTGGGCAGAGCAACTGGGCCAGCAACTGGGCCAACTGCCCCAGACTGCCCCACACTGCCCCAAACTGCCCCAGACTGCCCCAACTGCCGCAGACTGCCCCAGACTGTCCTACTGCTTCAGACTGCCCCAACTGCCCCAGACTGCCCCAACCTGCCCCAGACTCCCCCAGCAGCCCCAGACTGCCCCAACTGCCAACAAAAGAATCGACTAAGAGGGCAGAGGGCTCCACGAGAATGGCGCCCAAAATGGCGGCTATGGGTGGGGGGGGGGCAAGAATGTGCCAAGACGGCTCCAAGAGTGCCTCAAGAGGGTCCAAGAAGGCCCAGAGAGGCCCAAGGAAACACTTAGATGCCACACTTGGTCTTTAGTCAAACACCTTCTACATTGCTGACCCACGAAGTTCGTTTTGGGGCTCTCTTGGCGCCGTCATGGGGCCCTGTTGGGGCTGCCTTGGGGCCCTAAAAAGTGTTCAAGAAGGGCTGTGAGGGCTCCAAGTGGGGCCCAAGGGAGCACTGAGATGACTCACTTGGCCTCTAGTCAAACACCTTTTTGACTAGAGACCCACAGAGTTCGTCTTGGGGCCCTCCTGGAGCCCTTTTGGAGCCGTTTTGGGTCACTCTTGGGGCTGCCTGGGGCCTTGCGAGGGGTCCGAAAAAAGGCTCCAGGAGGGGCCCCAAGAGGGGCCCTAGAAAACACTTAGATGGCTCACGTGGTCTCTAGTCAAACACCTCTTTTTTGACTAGAGACCCATAGCATTGGTCTTGGGGCCTTCTTGGAAGCGTCTTGGGGCCCTGTTGAGGCTGTCTTGGGCCCTAACAGGGGTCCAAGAAAGCCCGAGAGGGCTCCAAGTGGGGCTCCGAGAGGACAATGCCAAGCGTCGGGAAACAATTCCAAGCCATCAGCATGTTCATGTTATATTTGCTCCCGAAATCTCGCCAAGCACAGCGAGGCCTCAATCTTCTTCCATACCCGAAAACGAACTAGTCAACGAACCATTCATCCCGAGGTACGGGAGGGGGTACACGACGAGGTTCAAACTCCGAGCCTCTAGGTTAACCTTCGGAGGGCATCTTCATCGCCACGGCTGGGCAGCACAAAAACCAGCAACACCAGCAACAGGACCAGCAACAGTAGCAGCACCACTACCGTCAACAGAAACAATGGCACCAGCAGCAGGACCAGCAGCAGCACCAACAGCGCAAGAACCAACAACACCATCAGCAGCACCAGCAGCAGAAACACCACCACCACCAACAGTACCAGCAACAGCAACAGCACCAACAGCAGCACCCACACCCTTCGCTACCAATTCACCGTTGTTGCCCGCGCTGTTTCACCATGTGCGTCTCTTCCGCCGTCCCGGAAGAGATCGCCCGCCGGCGGCCCTCCTCCTACTGCTCCTCCCGCTCCTCCTCATCCTCCTCCTTGCGAGCGAGGCGTAACGGCCGCCACCCTGCCGACGACCGATCGAAGACTCCTCCTTCCTCCTTCTCCACCGCCGGGGAAGCCTCCACAGGCCGGAGTCGAGATACAGGGGCTTCAATATACCTAATCCGATGGGCTCGAACTGGGCCGCAGTACCGCCTCAGAGGCTTTCAAGACGACCCTGTGACCTCAGGGGGCCCCAGAGGCCTTTGGGGGCCGCGTCGGAGGGCCCCGGGGGCTGCCTGGGGGCTCTTCGGGGCGAGCGGGCCGTTCTGGAGTCTTGAGTTTGGAGTTGCCAGTGGCCATGTTGGGGCCCTCTGGGGCTGTCTGGGAGTTTTTCGAAGCGGGGGCCCTGGCTGCGCGGACGATTTCGTCCTCGCAGCGGCGCCGCATGCGCAAGCGGGGGTCCAGCCTGGCCAGATTGGCGCCATCATACGCAGCGGCACGGAGCAGGAGCAGGGAGAAGAAGTGGGATATGTGAAAGAAAAGGAGGGGAACGAGAGGATGGAGGACGCGGGGGAGGAGGAGGGGGAGGAGGAGGTGGAGGAAGAAGAGGAGGAGGAGGAGGAGGAAGTGGAGGAGAAGGAGGAGGGAGGAGGAGGGACAGACCCAACGCAGCAGCGAGCAGACCCAACGCATCAGCGAGGAGACGCTTCGCGATCACAATCCACCTCCGCCAAATCTTTCTCATCATCCGTCCTCCTCCTCCTCCTCCTCCTCCTCCTCCTCCTCCTCCTCCTCCTCCTCCTCCACTTGATCCTCATCATCCCGATCTCCCCGGCGGTTCCTCCCCCTTTCCTACGCCGCCCTCCGCCCTCCTCCACCTTCCTCCTCCTTCCACTGATCCTCCTCCTCCTCCTCCTCTTCCTCCTCACTCCTCCTCCTCCTCCTGCTCCTCCTCCTCCTCCTCCTCCCCTCCTCCTCCTCCTCCTCCTCCTCCTCCTCCTCCTCCTCCTCCTCCTCTCCCTTCCACTCCTCCGCCTCCTCCCCCTCCTCCTCGCCCTTCGCCGCTTGGGTTCAGTTGCTCCGCCGCTCCTCCGCTTGGTTTCAGTTGCTCCGCCGCTTGGTTTCAGTTGCTCCGCAGCCTCGGTCCGGTTGCTCCGCCGGGGTAAGCCGAGGAGGAGGAGGAGGAAGAGGAGGAGGAGGAAGAGGAGGAAAGGAGGAGGGGCGCGATCAGCAAAAAAAGAGACGGCCGGACAAGAGCAGGGGACGAGAGGAGAATAATCGTCAATGACCAAGATGGCCAAACACACCAGCCACGCTCGGACAGGCGCGCACAATTTGCTGTATGCGTGCACGCGCGCGCGCGCCGAAACTCAACGGTGTGGTATACGTAGAACACCACGTCGATATAAATAACCCCGGACAGAACATTGTCCGGCGGCTGTACAACCTGCCAAACGGCGATCATCTCAGCACAGTTACCGTGAGCAAAACGATTGGAAAGCCTGGGTAGGAAAACAATCCGCAAATCCAGGACGGTTCAACATATGATCTCGACTATCGGACCTGGGCAATCCGCACGCACGACGCGCTTTGATGCCCCCCCAGAAACGCGCAGAGGTAGTTCATACCTTGCAAGGGGTAGAGGAAAGAGGCCAGCACACACGGGGGAAGGAGAGGAGCAAGACGAGGGGAAACAATGGCAACGCGTGAGCCCTGCTCACGCGTCAGGCCTGGATCATACCGCTGCGCACGTCGTACAAGCACCCCCATCACACTCTCACTGCAATCTTCGTTGCGCTGAAGAAGAAGGTCATATACCCTACGTTGAAGCCGTGCACTTTCACGTGGGATCCCATGAATACTGGTGAGATATTTCCGGTCTTCCCACAACGCCTGGAACATCGACGATTTGAGCCAGGGGTGCCAGGCCCAAGCCACCACGCACTCGTCCTCCAAGCTGAACTGCGAGAAAAGCTTGACTAACGACTGGAAGGCATGACTTCTCTGCGCAACCCGAAGGCGGCCCTGCATGTGCGCTAAAATCGACGCGGTTGCACTGGGATCTCTAGCGTCTGGAGGTCAAACAGCAAGGCAGCCGGCATCGAGTTACGTGGTGCACGACGTATGCCAATGACGACTTCCCTCTCAGCACGGGGGACCTTGGGAGTAGGCGGCAGCAGTCGTCCGACAAAGGTCGCGCAAGAAAAGGCGAGCATATTATACAGGGCCATACCCTTAGTGAACCCAACTTTCAGGGCGTTGACGACTTTCCCACGGATGCAGAAATTCAATCGTGGACCTGCCCAGGACGCCTCGCGTTTACCCGGGCTCAGCAGCACCCCGAAGTGGTTTAGCAAGATCCCGGCGAAGGACCTCTTCCGAGTATCTGCCAAGAAACACAACTAGTGCTTTACCCAAGGATGAGGAGAAGGAGAAGAAGGAGGAAGAGGAGAAGGAGGAGCGAGAGAGGATGGAACATGATGGGAAGGAGGGGAAGGACGCCGGCGACGACCGACCAGGAGGAGGACAATGACGAGGATGAGTGAGACGAAAAGGAGGAGGAGCCCCACCCGCGGAGGGCGCAGTCCTGATCTCACCTACGTGAGCAGGCGCTGGAGGCTGGGTTCCCGCCGAATACGGCGCGGAGCCTCCCTGTGATAGTCTGGCGTGCGAACGATGGGGAGACGGGAGGGAGGGAACGCAGAGACTGGAATGCGGAGTGTAAAGCATCTACTGCAATAAAGTGGCTAGCACGAGCATCAAACCCCAAAGCTGGAAAAGGTGAGGGAGGAACGCGCTCAGAGGTTCATCTCCCCAGGATGGTGGAAGTGCAGGGAGGAGTCGCCGAAGGTGCGGGGAGGAAATTTGACATGAGGTATAATGGAGAATGTCGTCCCCGCCCATACAACTGCAACCATAAACACAACGCCCAGGGCCCTGGCGATACCTTCGAGTTGTATTCCACGAGTTGCATATTGTTGTTATCGGACCAACGAAAACAAAACCAGGAACAGCTTGACTGGACAACAATATCCTCGAGAGACACACCTCCATTTCAGCATCCGGAAGTTCGGGAACCCACTTCAGGATAGAGGCGGAGGAGGAGGAGGCGGAGGAGGAGGAGGAGGAAAGCTGTCTGCGGAAGCTCAAGGGTCCTGGCCCCAAGAAGAAGAGTCCGCACGCAGCATCTGCCAGCAAACGGCTCCAAAAACTGACTTCGTCGGGCCCTGGGGCTCCAACGGATCGGCACGGCTCCAGACAAGGCAGACAGATGGGGTCGAAAAATCCTCGGAAGTCTCTGGGGGTATCTGGAAGTCTCCAGAAGTCCGGAGGCGTCCCTGGAAACTGCTCAAAACATCCAACTACAGCCGTTCGATGTTCGAGACGTTGATATCTTCTTCGCGTTATTCGATATTCGACATTCATCTCCCGACGTGCTACTTTGTGGCGCTGCGAGTCGTTCACGACCTCGGAAATCTCAGAGAAGGAAAGGCGCCTGCTCTCGGGATGCCTGTTTACAGGATGTTTGCGAGCTGCTTCTCGGGGAAGAACGGGGGGGGCTGGAGAGCGGCAGTGGGCGAGGGGAATCGAGGATCGAGGTTCGAGGATCGAGGTTTCTGGCAGTTTTTCAGCATACTTGGGCCTCCAGGAGACTTCTCGTCGCCATGGCTGGATTCCCTTAAAGTTCTGGCCAGATCGCACCCCTGGAGAGGTCCGGGGGTCGCTCTTGAGGGGGAGGGGCGAAGGCGTGGGCGGAGGAGAATGGAGAACAAGACATAACAACTTCACTCCATCACATCGTGTACTTGCAAAGACATCGCCCCCGAACCTAAAGCCCTTACAGTACCGATTGGCAGTGCCAGCTCAAGGGGGAAGGAGGAAGAAGAGGTGGTGTGGGACAGGCGGGCTTCTCGACAGCGTGCGGGCGCAAGATGGCTCAGGCGCAGGGAGCTATCTGGTGCTCAAGTGGTTCCCTCCGAGGCTTCACAATCTCGCAACCTGCTGCTTGACTTCGCTTGGGGCGGTCAGACACTGTGACATTGCGGTCTTACCCTTGAAAGTACATCGTTGCATGCTTGGGAGCACAGTTGCACCTGACGTTCAAAAGGGAACGCGAACAGAATGGGCCATGATATCCCGACCGTGGCATCACCGACAACTACCCAAAGCAAAACCAGATGGGTATCCCGATTCACAGCCTGCAGTCTCCTCGATCATTGGTCGCATCCTCACAAGCCGCAATCGAAGCTCAGTCAAATATTCGCGACGAAGAACTGGTCACCTTTTCCTTTGACGAGGTCCAACAGGTCATTCAGGCTGTTCCCTGTATAGCCTTGGTTCGGCACGCATCGGGCATCGCAGGAAGGAGGAAAGGGGCACTGGGCACTGTCCCACAAGACAGTGTTGTCTCTGGCACGGCCGAATAAGGGGACATACAAACCAGACATGGTCCTTCCCACCGTCTGTCGTCTCTCGAATGCCCTGGCCCCACTTCGGAGCCACCTGTTCCACTCGCATCCTCGCACCCAGGCAATTGACCCCGTCTCTGCCGATGACGCCGTGCGGGCACTCTCGCACTGAAGGGGGGTGCTGCAGGGGTGCTGCAGGGGTGGGGGCGACGCGCCCGTACAGTACTGGAGCGTGAAACCAGCGCGACGCGCCGCTACGAGACGAAGGGGCACTACAACAAGGAGTTGATTTAGGTCGGGCGTGTCCCCCCACAGGCGGCTTTTGGACGACAGTTTGTTTTTAAGACCCTAAACATACTCAAAATAGTAAAGCAAATACTCCTGAACATATTCGAAAATCGTCAAACCATCGCCCCATTACTATGTTTAACTATTGTTGAAGTTCCTCCTGGAGAGGGACACGCCCGACTTAAGAGTTGGTGTGCTCTGCAGCCTCGCACGAACCCTCATGGGATTGTCTTCCACCACCACCACCACCATAAGTTGGAGGGGGAGGGGGTCATCCTCCTCCTCCTCCTCCGCCTCCTCCTCCCTCCTCCTCCTCCTCCTCCTCCTCCTCCTCCCCCTCCTCCTCCTCCCCTCCTCCTCCTCCCCCCCATCCAACTTATGGTAATGGTGGTGGAAAACATGCCCATCAAACCCTCTGCAGAACATCATTGCAGTGGGGACCCGACCACAAGAAATCTTCCACGCGAAGCCCAACCCTGAGACCCAATGACGCACATGGATCTTTGGTGTGGGCACGCCAAGCCTTCCATCCCAAAACCATCGAAACCCAAGAAACCCAGGGCACCCTGGAAGCAAGCCGGGTGTTTCTTGACATGGGCCCCCACTGTAGAGTGGCCCCGGTAACCGTACATCTGGTTTGTCGATGGAAGACGCCCACGCTGGCCTCCGGACGGCCCAAGGGGCCACCAAGACGCCCCCAAGAAGCCCTCAACAGGCGTCCAAAGACGGCCTCAAAGAGCAAAACTCGTTCAAGTTCCTTGGGGGCACCTGCATGCTTTGCACATTCGCCTCTCCTGCGGTCACGACATCCAACAAAGCCGAAGAAGCCTCCTGGGTCGCCCCAAGACGGCCGAGAGGCATCCCAGAGAGCTCTCCGACGACCCAAACCGGGGGACAGAGGACAAAAAACCGGCCAAGAGGACACCAAGAGGCCCTCTGGACGGTCCAAGAGGGCCACGAGCTGCTGAAAGATCGATGGAAAACGCCCACGCTGGCCTCCAGACGGCCCAAGAAGCCCTCAACAGGCGGCCGCAAGACGGCCTCAAAGAGCAACACTCGGTCCAGCTCCATGGGAACACCTGCATGTTTATCACATGCGCCTCCCCGGTGATCACAACATCCAAGACGGCCCAAGAAGCCTCCTGGGTCGCACCAAGACGACCCAAGAGGCCCCCAAGCGGGCTTTCAGACGACCCAAAAGGGCCCCAATACAATTCAAAAAGACCCCAAAAATATTCCAAAAATGGTCCAGAATAGTCGAAACATCGTCCCCAGACTATTTTTCTGCTATTTTTGAATATTCCACCTGTAGATGGACAGGCCCGACTTGAGCAAATGCCTGTAGGGGGACAGGCCCGACTTTGCGGCCGCAAGACGGCCTCAAAGAGCAACACTCGGTCCAGCTCCATGGGAACACCTGCATGTTTATCACATGCGCCTCCCCGGCGATCACAACATCCAAGACAGCCCAAGAAGCCTCCTGGGTCGCTCCAAGAAGGCCCAAAAGGCCCCCAAGCGGGCTTTCAGACGACCCAAAAGGGCCCCAATACAATGAAAAAAGACCCCAAAATATTCCAAAAATGGTCCAGAATAGTCGAAACATCGTCCCCAGACTATTTTTCTGCTATTTTTGAATATTCCACCTGTAGATGGACAGGCCCGACTTGAGCAAATGCCTGTAGGGGGACAGGCCCGACTTTGCGGCCGCAAGACGGCCTCAAAGAGCAACACTCGTTCCAGCTCCATGGGAACACCTGCATGTTTATCACATGCGCCTCCCCGGCGATCACAACATCCAAGACAGCCCAAGAAGCCTCCTGGGTCGCTCCAAGAAGGCCCAAAAGGCTCCCCGAAGAACTCCCAAACGACCCAAACGGGGGAACAGCAGGCCCCCAAACCGGCCAGGAGGATACCAAGAGGCCCTCTGGACGGTCCAAGAGGGCCACGAGCTGCCGAACAAATTATGTAAAGCGCCAACGCTAGCCTCCGGACGGCCCAAGAGCCCCCCAAGACGCCCCAAGAAGCCGACAAGAGGCGTCCAAAGACAGCCTCAAAAAGCAAAACTCGGGTCATTTCCATGGGAGCACCTACATGTTTAGCACTTCCGCCTCTCCTGCAATCACAACATTCAAGACAGCCCATGAACCCTCCAAGGTCGCTCCAAGACGGCCCAGGAGACCCCTCAGAGGGCTTTCCGACGGCCCAAACGGGGGAACAGAGGGCCCCAAAACAGGCCAATAGGGCGCCAAGATGCCTTCTGGACGGTCCAAAAAGGCCCCGAGCCGCCGAATGATCAATCGAAAACGCCCACGTTGGCCTTCAGGCGGCCAATGGGGCCCTTAAGACGCCCCAAGAAACCCCAAGAGGCGTCCCAAGACGGCCTCAAAGAGCAACAATCGCCCAATCTCCATTGGAAAACCTTTTGTTTGTTTTGCACATTCGCCTCTTCAGCAAGCGCAGCATCCAAGACAACCCAAGAAGCCTCCTGGGTCGCCCCAAGACGGCCCAGGAGGACTCCCAGAGGTCTCTCCGACGACCCAAACGGGGAGACAGAGGGCCCAAAACTGGCCAAGAGGACACCAAGAGGCCCTCTGGACGGTCCAAGAGGGCCACGAGCTGCCGAAAGATCGATGGAAAACGCCCACGCTGGCCTCCAGGCGGCCCAAGAACGTCCAGGCGGCCCAAGGGGCCACCAAGAGGCCCCAAGAAACCGTCAACACGCGCCCCAAACGGCTTCAAAGAGCAACGCATTATTCCAGCTCCATGGGAACACCTGCATGTTTAGCACATTCGCCTCTCCTGCGATCACAACATCCAAGATGGCCCAAGAAGCCTCCTGGGTCGCACCAAGACGACCCAAGAGGCCCCCAAGCGGGCTTTCAGACGACCCAAAAGGGCCCGAATAAACTTCAAAAACCGCGACAGCCCCAAGAGGGGGTCCAAAGGGGGAGCCCACACGGACATTCGAGTCTTCTACCCCGCAACGCGCCCAGTTGCCCCAAAAAGCCCCCAACGGGCTCCCAGGGAACTCCGCGAGGTCCCCCAAAAGCTCCCCCGAGGCCCCAGGAGGCACCCAAGGGGTTCAAGAACTGTTTCCAAAACGCCCTTGAGACGCCTCCCACGAAACCCCGTCCGCCATCCGCGTGGCCTCCGACCCGCAGCCCGGGCGCGGGTGGCGGAATGTGCCGAAGGCTAATCGATAATCGCCCTACTTCTGGAATGCGGAGCATATGCTTAGGTCGGGCATGTCCCCCTACGGGGGGGTTTTGGACGAAAAGCAAAAAGACCCCCAAAATATTCCAAAAATGGTCCAGAATAGTCGAAACATCGTCCCCAGACTATTCTTCTGCTATTTTTGAATATTCCACCTGTAGAGGGACAGGCCCGACTTGAACAAATGCCTGCCGTTTGTGCACGCGGGGCCTCGCCAGCTGCCCCGGTGCGTGCGCGGCGCGAGGATTGGAAAGGTCAGCCGCGGACACAAGTTCTGCCGCTGCGGGCTGTGCCGCGAATGTCGTGGGCCCCAAAGGTCCCTAAGAGGCCCCAATAGTTAAGTCGGGCCTGTCCCTCAGCAGGAGGAATATTCAAAAATAGTACGGGGACGATTTTTGACTATGTTTAACCGTTTGGGAATATGTTTGAAGTATTTGTTACCTTTCGTCCACAATCCCCCTGTAGGGACATGCCCGACCTAACCCAAGAGGCCCCCAACAGGCGGTCAGGAGGCCGCCAAGAGGCCCCCAAGAGCCCCCAAAAAGGCTCCAGGTTAAAACGTCCCCGAACGCATCGGAAAACTCCCAAGAGCTTCCTGTGCACTGCCTCCCGATGCGCGAAAATGGGCCGGCGGAATGAGCGAACCGATTCAATAAGTTCTGCCGATGCGGGCTGTGCCGCGAATGCCGTGGGCCACAGGGGCATCTTTGGCGAGCGCACGGCAGATTGTCCACGAGGCCCCGACGTTGGCACAACGACGATCCAAGACTACATCGAGACGGCACTCGGCCCACCGCCCAAGACGGTCCAGGAATCAACCAGTGGTGCGTCGGAGGCATGATTTCTTGCTTTCCTACGCGCACTTCAAAAAGATGTACCGTTCCTAATCTAATCGACATGGCCTGAAGACTAGTCCACGGGCACCTCACCGTCGTCCTATCAGATCCTTCCCACCTCCTGTCGCCTTCGTCCACCTCGCCGACAAGCTTCTCCTGAGCATCATCCTGACCAAACTTTCGAGACAAGTGTAGCTCCTGCGACGAAGCCGTATTCATAGACACCCGCCCCCTCGACAGACGGCCGACCCGAAGCAAAGACAACCCCCCCAACCATCAGGGCCCTTACAATAATTATTAGAAGACAGATTGCCCTGTGCGACATAACCTGGATCATATTCGGGCGTCCCCCTCAACTGTATATGGGTCTGTTACACGACGGCTGGGGGGTCATCCCAACGCGTGCAGGCCCACCGTCCCTCTCGGGAACTAGCACTGCAGTGCGCACCAGGCGGCAACATCCCTCGACCCCTACGGGTGTCCTCCCCAAACATGCGACGTCAGATTTTGGCCAGACGGCGTCCCCAGAAATGCAAATCCTTTCCCCGGGGCTGCTGGTTTCTCATCATGAGTCGCTTTTAGACGGT